TATGTCTACCATAATTGGTCTTCTTGTCATGGTTTTCTTCCATCCCATCCAACTCTTCTGCATCCTCTTTCCTTCCTTACTTGGCTTTTTGACAATGGGCTGTCAGTATACACTATTGCTAGTTATCATGTGACATTGTCAGCCACCTTTGCCTTCACAAGATTTCAGTGTGTTTTAACTTCTCTGGACCTCACCATTTTGTTTTGTTCCTTCTGCCTTCACCATCCCGTGTCCTACTCCCCTCCCTGATTGGAACCTCGGTGTTGTACTCTATGCCCTCAGTCTTTCTCCTTTCGAGCCCATCTTTTCCTGTTCCTTATATCATCTTTCCTTAAAGACCTTATTCCTCATCTTCATGGCATGTGAAAGTTGATGTTTGGATTTGTTTTTCTTCAACATCTTGCACACATTATATCACTAGTCCTATGTCATCCTCTTCCTGTATCAGTTTTTCCTGCCTAAAACATGGCTACACGTGAGGACAAATTTGCCTTCACTCCCATTTCTCACATTTATCCTCTTTCTAATTCAGATCACCTCTTATTTCCTGTCCAAGCTCTAGACTGTATGTAGGTCACACAGCTCCCTTCTCTGCTTTCCATTCCCATTTGTTTATTCCTTGGAACCTTTCCCTTCCCTGTGATATTTTTCCTATTACCCTGATAATTGTTGTTGCTTCCAAGTCTTCTCCCATCAAATCTGTCATCTTACCATGTTCCTGGCTGCCCGATTCCATCATCCTTTAGAAGATATAGTTTGTGCTAGCATGTGGACCACTTCCCCATACGTTTATCTCCCTGTTATCTGCATAATCTGGTTGTTTCCTGCTCTACAGGTTACCATCTACCTCCTTTTGCCATCTTGAGCTCCACGATTTCTCTATTTGTGGGTAGGTGCTGCATTTATACCAATTCTTTTTTGCAAAGGGCTTTCTGGCATATACAGATCCCACTCAGTGGTGAGTGTTGCCTGACCGGGTATACTTATTCTTAACCTTGCACTGTCCAGCCATTCAGGTCAGTAACACCCACCGTTTAGATGGGGTGTTCTGTAAGACCACTTTTAGGTTTTTCCGCGCAGTGTTTTGCATCATAAATATGTTCACCCTGGAATATACACTCATGGACAAACAAAAGGAGATTGCTGCCTATCCCTGCCACTCATTGGTTTGGCTGTATCAGGAACAGTCTGCTTTTCAATATAAGGCTTTGTTATCATCTATTGCATTGTCTCCAGTGTTGCATTCCTCCATACTCTCCAATGCATCTTCCCCATTCTTCCAGTGGAGTCCAGTAGTCCTTACCACTTAGCAGCTCCAAACTGCTGGGGTGGTGCACCATGGAGGTTTCTTCCTGAGTGTGCTCAATTCCACACAGTTGAGAGAAGGGTGGTGGTGGTTTTCTGCTGGATTAGATGGTATATAGACACTTCTACCACAAACCTGGTGTTCTTTCCAAATGAAGCCTGATTATCACAGTGTAGTTGATGTAGATTGAGGTAAACTCCCCATTATGGTCTTCTGCATCCCCAGCCACTTTACATCAGGGATCCCTTCATTTAATTTATGGGGTTCTTTCTATGCTTCCACCCTTATTGAAACACATCAATTTCACGGGGGAAGAGTATATCTGTGTCAGAAGTGGTGAGGTCTCCCATGATGTCCTTGTGTTTTACATATTCTTTATTCACACACCCTATAGGCTTCCTTCAGGTGCTTTCTGAAGAGGCCCCCAGTGGCACAGTAGGATGTCTGTGGACTAACAATGCTAGAAACCAGGTTTTGATACCTGTGGTGGGCAGAGCATAGATAGCCCATTGTGTAGCTTTATGCTTAATTACGAACACATAAACTTTCTGAAGAGGGCTCATCTAGGTTATGTTACACTGATCCGTCCACCAGGTCAGTGTGGGATTCTATATGTCAGAAGAGGTAAGATAGTGTATTGGAAGTTAAGATTTCCCTACACTAAAGATATATTTCTGATAGATTATTACCTCCATTATGGCCAGGTGGTTAGGGTGCTCAATTTGCAATCTGCAGGTCTTTGGTTTTAATCCTCATCCCACCAATCATGCTCGCCCTTTCAGCCATGGAGGCATTATTATGTGATGGTCAATCCCACTATTTCTTAGTAAAAGAGTAGCCTTAGAGTTGGTGGTGGGGGATGATGATTAACTGTCTTCCTGTTGTCTTTAACTGCTAAATCATGGATGTCTAGCACAGATAACCCTTGTGTAACTTTGTATGAAGTTCAAAATCAAACTAAATTTACCTCCTCTCACCCTTCCTCCCAACTTCCAGTGCCTTTTTGTATTATTCATTCTTGAAGTGAAGTTGAGCTAAGTTGCATAGAGGGTGTCAGATGTGCTAGGAGTTGTCACACTCCTATTGGTGGAGGATTGTTGCATGCTATCACACAACTTCCTCACATGGAAACACTTGAGGGTAGGTGGGAGTATCAATGTTAGTGGCAAGTGAAAATTTGCACATATAGAGGGCAGGACAAGTCATGTAAAGTTATATGAGAAGTGGTAAGAATCTATTGGAAATATGTTTTCAGAGTAGGAAAAGGTCAACTTTACCTGACTGTAATTTTATATAATGTTTCAATTCTTAATTTTATAAGGACATATTTAAAAAAAACCAATCTCCCCTAGTATGAGAATTTAGGTCTTCTCTCTCTCTCCATTAATTTATTTCCCTCCCCTTCCCCAAGAAGTATGGAAATTAATGAAAATTACTCATTATGATATAGTTAGTACTCGGGCAAAGCATAACTTTTATAGCCTTCAATCTTATTTGTTTATTGAGTCATAAACTAGACAATCAGACTTACTTGCCCTGCCCACCTATCACATCCTCTCTTTTACAAATTACCAGTAGTTGTCTCTGACATTTAATACTATCTTATTTATATCCAATAGAAAACCAAAGTTTCAATCTAACAAATGATGTATTATACTACATTGTTTTCTGTATAGAGAATTGTCTATTTCATTTCCAGTTCCAATTTTATGAATACAGGAAACACATCAATGAGCTTAGCTGAATTTGAAATCTTAACAGCTCTTATCGCATAGTTAGAAAGCCAGAAAATTATGATAAATAAAGGATGGTGCCTGCTTTGTATGTGTTATTATTCTGCTTTGTGAAGAATTTTAATTATATTATTATTACTTATTTTACTTATTCTAGTCTTATATAACTTGAAAAGATACATACTTTTAATTTTAGTTACTTTTATTAATAATAAATAAAGAATAAATATGAAAAACAAGAAATAAAGTACTTACCCAGTCTTCTTTTTTCTTGCTCTCGATTGTCAGATTTTTTTTTTTAGT